AAGCAATGGAAAACAGAGAGAGAGAGAGAGAGAGAGAGAGAGAGAGAGAGAGAGAGAGGGTAACAACATAATTGAAGGGGAAGTGAAGAAAGAAAAACCTTGAAAATTTTTCACTCTTACAGATGAAAAACCTTGAAAAACCTTCAGTTGACAGTAAAGAGAAAAGCTTTTCACCAAAGACAAAAAAAAAGAAAATGATTGTGTTTGGTTCCTGTTTTTCGGACTTAGATTTTTGAAAATTTTAAGTAATGTTTGGAAGAGTTTTCTAAATATGATTTGATAATAGAGTTATATTTTGAATTTGTGAGTTTTAAAATTATGATTTGAGTATTAAAAATTTTTTTGGTTATGAGTTTTGAAAAGAGTTTTGAAAGGAGTTTTGAGATTTTTGATGTGGTATATGATATTTGATACAAAACTTACAACTCATAACTAAACATAAAACTCAAAATTCTATTCAAAATTCATAAAAAAAAATTTAAATAAAAAATATTTTGAAGAATTTTTAAATTTTTTTTTATGAATTTTGAATAGAATTTTGAGTTTTATGTTTAGTTATGAGTTGTAAGTTTTGTATCAAATATCATATACCACATCAAAAATCTCAAAACTCCTTTCAAAACTCTTTTCAAAACTCATAACCAAAAAAATTTTTAATACTCAAATCATAATTTTAAAACTCACAAATTCAAAATATAACTCTATTATCAAATCATATTTAGAAAACTCTTCCAAACATTACTTAAAATTTTCAAAAATCTAAGTCCGAAAAACAGGAACCAAACACAATCATTGTCTTTTTTTTTGTCTTTGGTGAAAAGCTTTTCTCTTTACTGTCAACTGAAGGTTTTTCAAGGTTTTTCATCTGTAAGAGTGAAAAATTTTCAAGGTTTTTCTTTCTTCACTTTCACTTCAATTATGTTGTTACCCTCTCTCTCTCTCTCTCTCTCTCTCTCTCTCTCTCTCTCTCTGTTTAACCTTGCTTACCTTTAAAAAAATATGTTCTTTCTTCACTTATGTTCTTTCTTCACTTCCACTTGACGATATTTCGCGACGTTTTTAAAAAAAACGCCACCATTTCTTTCATTTTTTTGAAAAAAAAAATGAAAAATCATAATTAATGATCTTTTGACTTTTGTTCAAACCAAACCTATATCATCCATCACCATTCTCAAAATATATACCATCAATCTCTCTGTATCTCTCTCTCTCTCTCTCTCTCTCTCTGTTTTACCTTGCTTACCTTTTAAAAAATATGTTCTTTCTTCACTTATGTTCTTTCTTCACTTCCACTTGATGATATTTCGCGACGTTTTTAAGAAAAACGCCACCATTTCTTTCATTTTTTGGAAAAAAAAATGAAAAATCATAATTAATGATCTTTTGACTTTTGTTCAAACCAAACCTATATCATCCATCACCATTCTCAAAATATATACCATCAATCTCTCTGTAGATCTATAAACTCCAGGAAGTCTTCATTGCTGTTGCATCCACGGCTCCTTAACCAGGGCTGGTGAGAGAGAACCATTTTAGAGAGAGAGAGAGAGAGAGAGAGAGAGAGAGAGAGATATAGAGCCATTTGGAAATGTTTGAATGAATAGATATGGGTTAAGTCTCTGTGAAGTTAAACAGACTTGCCTCATTGAGACAATCAAAAGGGCATCCTATTAATTTAGGTGATATTACTCTTTGAAAAGCGTGTCTGCCATTAAGATGTGTCACAACGTTTTTAAAAGCGCCTTGATGGAAGCGCTACCGTAAGCAATTTTTTTTGTAGTGTGGGTTGGCTTTTTGGTTTTTTGGCTACTTTAGTCTTGGCTAAAAAGCTTGGTTTGGGAAGGACTTTTTAGCTTTTTGGTTTTTTTGATTTTTTTTGTGAGAGAAGAGTGTAAAGATTATGAATTGGATGTGATGTTTTATTTATTGTGACTAAAATAACTTATTTTGTCTTTTGTGACTAAAATAGCCACAAAAGCTCTTCTCAAACGGAAGCTATCAATTATGTTATAACCTTTCCTAATCAAACATTAGTTTTTAATTATTATTATTATTTGTTTTTTTTATTTATTATTATCCCCTTTTGATTTTGCAAAGTGTTCCTTTCCTATCATCATATCCTCTCTGTGTTAGGAAAACAAGAAAAAAAAAAACTTTTCTATTCCCTTTCGATTTTAGAAAAGCTTTGCTATATCCTCCCGTGCTACTGTATTCCAACTCTGTGTTGGACAACCACCAAAATCAGAAGTGAGAAATGGCCGTCGATTTTGTTCTTTCCATTGGAGCCAAGGTCGCTGAATATTTGGTTGAGCCAATCGCTCTCCAGTTTGGCCAAAAGAGTGAAAAAAGAGATATTAAGTGGGGTGGGAGGTGCTGGTAAGAAGTTGCCAAAAGAGTGAAAAAAGAGATATTAAGTGGGGTGGGAGGTGCTGGTAAGAAGTTGCCAAAAGAGTGAAAAAAGAGATATTAAGTGGGGTGGGAGGTGCTGGTAAGAAGTTGCCAAAAGAGTGAAAAAAGAGATATTAAGTGGGGTGGGAGGTGCTGGTAAGACGCCAATGGTCAAGGAAGTGACCAAAAGTGTGAATAAAGAGCAATTGTTCGATGAGGTTGTCATAGCTGTAGTATCCCAAAGCCCTGACGAAAAGAAGATTCAAGCTGAAATTGCAGATAAGTTGGGTTTGAAATTTGAGGAAGAGAGTGTATCTAGAAGAGCAGATCGGCTGTGTGAAAGTCTACCTAGCAAGAGAATCTTGGTCATATTGGATGATGTTTGGAAAAGACTTGAACTGAATGACATAGGAATTCCATAGAGAGAAGGTCACGGCGGTTGTAAGATTTTGTTGACTTCGAGATTTGTCTATATATGTGATGATATGGGTGTTGAAGAGAAATTTATAGTTGAAGCCTTAGATAGAGAAGAAGCATGGAATCTTTTCAAGGAGACGGCTGGAATTTCCAATGACACGAGTACTGAATTCTATGCCACACAGAAGGTAGTTGCAGATGAATGTGGAGGCTTGCTTGTTGCTTTAAGACAGTTGCAAGGGCACTCAAAGGTAAAGGAGAGGATTCATGGGATTCTGCTCTTGTTCAATTACAGAAGATTCAAGCTGAAATTGCAGATAAGTTGGGTTTGAAATTTGAGGAAGTGAGTGTATCTAGAAGAGCAGATCGGCTGCGTGAAAGTCTACCTAGCAAGAGAATCTTGGTCATATTGGATGATGTTTGGAAAAGACTTGAACTGAATGACATAGGAATTCCATATAGAGAAGGTCACGGTGGTTGTAAGATTTTGCTGACTTCGAGATTTGTCTATATATGTGATGATATGGGTGTTGAAGAGAAATTTATAGTTGAAGCCTTAGATAGAGAAGAAGCATGGAATCTTTTCAAGGAGACGGCTGGAATTTCCAATGACACGAGTACTGAATTCTATGCCACACAGAAGGTAGTTGCAGATGAATGTGGAGGCTTGCTTGTTGCTTTAAGACAGTTGCAAGGGCACTCAAAGGTAAAGGAGAGGATTCATGGGATTCTGCTCTTGTTCAATTACAGAGGTCCATCATCAAAAGCATCAGGGGAGTAGAAGAGAAGGTATTTAAATCTCTGGAGTTGAGTTACAATTCCTTATGAAATTCCTAAGTGATTTGTGATTAGATAAAGATTTAATTCTACAAAATCCCAATTATTCAAAACACACAATCAAAATCAACAAGCACTTACGAAAGTGGTTTAGATTGTTGTTTTCAAAAAGTAATAAATCGACACAAACAATTTTTACGTGGAAAAACCACAATTGAAGCACCTTCAACTGTGATAAAAAATCACGGGCGAAACGCCACTAAATCAATCCACCACTGAAGAAAGAAAGATTACAAAGACAACCAACAAATTACCAAACGCATCAAATTTGTCTTCAAGCTTATGTAAATCTTTCGCCACAGCCTTCGTCTCGGAATTGATCAATATGAAGTTGAATCCACAACTTCTAATGCCGCATCAACGACCACGCTCAGTATCAAACTCCTTTGATGCTCCACGCGTGAATCTTCAGATTCCACCGAAGAAGAACACTCTTGAATATGAAGTAACAAACTCCTTGATGTATGTATCTTAGATCATAAGTTTAGAACTCACTCAAATCAACAAGGAAAACTCAACAAGACTTTTAGAAGAAAACCTCGAACAAAACCCTAAGACTCTTAAACAAGATCTAGGAATAGTAACCCTAGAATAGAACCAACATGCGAATATATAGACACAGAGATCGCGCGGTCCGCTCGAGCGTGGGAATTGACGCTCGAGCGGGGACTCTATATTGTTTGTTCTATACAGGGTTCACGCTCGAGCAGAAGATCCCACGCTCGAGCGTACAAACACAGTACTCAGTATTTTTTGCAGACACGCGAAATACTGCGAGTGTGTAAACTCCGCTCGAGCGGCCCTTTCCCCGCTCAAGCGGGAAGAACAAAATTGGAAAATTACAAAACTGATTACAACCTTAGTTTTTTCCATGGAATTTGACAACAAGGGTCCTAACACCTTAGAAAGTAAGAAAGCCTAAAAAGTATTTTTGTTTTGTTCTTTATACCCAGAAGATTTTGATATTCCAATTGAAGATCTTGTTAGATATGGGATTGGGCTTGAATCGTTTGAAGACATTGCTACAGTGGGCGAAGCGAGACAAAAAGTTCATGACTTTGTTGATGACCTTAAAAAATGCTATTTATTGATGGATAGTGAAGAAGAAGAGTATGTCAAAATGCATAATGTTATACGTGATGTGGCTATATCTATTGCATCTGGGGAGGAGCATTCGTTTATGGTGAGATATGACAAAGCATTGGAAGACTGGCCACAGCATCGCCTCAAAAATTACATTGTAATTTCATTAAAACTTAATGGTATGCACGGGCTTCCTGGTAATTTAGAATTTCGAAAACTCCAGCTTCTGAAGCTAGATTGCAATGCTGATCTCGACAATGGGATGGAGGAAGTCCAAGTACAAGAGACCCCAGATTGTTTCTGCCAAGGGATGAAAGAACTCAGAGTGCTAGCTTTATCTAATTTGTATGGATCGCTGCTGACATCACTCCGATGCTTGACCAACCTCTGAACCTTGTCACTTTCTTGTTGCCAACTTCCTGATGATGATGTCTCTGTAATCGGAGCATTAGAGAATCTAGAAATGTTGAGTTTTGCTGGCTCTCGTATCAAGGAATTTCCAAAAGAAATAATAGGTCACCTTGGTCACTTGAAGGTACTTGATTTGTTGAATTGTACAGTGGCAAGGATTTACCCAGGGGTTTTGTCAAGCTTATCAATGCTAGAAGAGTTGTATGTTGGGAATAGCTTTCAAACAATGGATGGACTACAAGAAAGAAAAGAAATGACTCATGCAATCATTGCTGAGGTGGCATCCTTGTCCCATTTGGTGGCTTTGGATATTGTATTATTTATCTTGCCAAAAGATTGGGTCATTGACAAGGTGAAAAGGTTCAATATAACAGTTTACCCATCATCTGGTTACAACGTGACCGAACCTAATTATATGTTACCGAATAGGTTAGAACTCCGGTCAATGGATGTGACTGATCTTAGGGATAGTAGTAGCCTCAAGATGCTATCGCAGAGCACTAAAATTCTGGAGTTAGATTCAGTTAAGGGTTTGAAGAATATTCTGAGTGATTTAGACGAATATAGTTTTGAGCGCTTGACGAAGTTGACACTGCAGAAATATGATGATTTGGAATACCTCATCAACACACCAGATGTCAAGGTTTTCCAGATTGCATTCCTTTTCCCTGTGTTAGAGTCTTTGGAACTCACTGAACTAGATAATTTCAAAGGGATTATTTGTCATGGCCTACTACTAGATTTTTTGCCTGAAGTAACACAATCGTCAATGGGTCCTACTCTACTTAAATGGTTTGGCAACTTGAAATCTATATTTTTTTGGAAATGTGCTAAAATGGAAAATGTGTTCTCACTTTCCATTGCTAGGAATCTCATGCATCTGGAGAATATTGAGATATTCGACTGTCATTTGACGGAAGTGATTGTTTCAAATGAAGGAGGAGAGCATGAGATAGCAGCAGTGGCAACAGATAAAATTGAGTTTCCTAAACTAAAAATTTTGTGTCTATGGGGACTGCCAAGTTTTACAGCATTTTGCAAAGCCGTGAATGCAATTGAACTACCACAATTAGAGTATTTGTTTCTCCATGAAATACCAAAGCTCAGTAGTCTCTGCCCTGCTTCTGCTGTATAGAGTAATTGTGATGCCTACATTCAGCCGCTTTTTGACAACAAGGTATGATTTCTTTCTTTGATTTAAGAGCACCTCATATATTTCTTATTTTCAGTGAAACTTTTGGGCTATATAAATGTGTTTCCTTGATTTTTTGCATAAATGCATTTGTTGTATCAATATTTATATATATTGGATTGAATATGTGTAGATATCCCATTTTTGACCGTCCTCAAGACTTGGACGTCACCGTTTGAACACTCGGTGATTATCCATGTTTGTGTTCGTTCGGAGTTCTCGGAGGTCTCGGCTCGCGCGCCTTGCCTCAGGATCTCCGAACTCGACTGTTTAGTGTCTGGTTTTACACCAAACACTTGTGTTTTGCCTTGGAGGGGCAGGGAATGCCTTGTGAGGCATCCCCACACATCACCGGCCATGGCCAGAGGCCACCGGCTGGTGTTTTGTTTCCATCGGCAATGTATATTGCCGGTCGGCATTCTTTGTTGCCGGTCGGCAGTCCATTTTGTCAAAATGGAAATTTTGAGCAGCCGACTACTATTCATCTACTTTATGTAGATATTTTGTGCCAGCTGTGATAGCTGGCACCAACTCTGTTCCCCTCCATACACGTGTATGGAGGGATTTCCCTCTAAGCAAGCTTGTTGGAAGAGCAAGTCTCCGGATTCGGAGTCCCCTACGGTGCATGACACCTTAGATCCGATTAATTCTCTGTATTCGGACCGCCCTTCGTGGATATCACGATTGGCTCAAATAAGCCTCCAGATTTGGAGCGCCCTATGGTGCACGACACCTTAGGGCCGGTTAAGCCTCCGGATTCGGAGTGCCCTTCGTCGATATCACGATTGGCTCAAATAAGCCTTTGGATTTGGAGCGCCCTATGGTGCATGACACCTTAGGGCCGATTAAGACTCCGAATTCGGAGTGCCCTTCGTGGATATCACGATTGGCCCAAATAAAGCCTCCGGATTTGGAGCCCCTTTCGCACAAAACGGTTGCATGAGGTGCGCAAGATAGCGCGATAAAATGCAGTGCGAAAATGCAAGTGAGGCACAAAATAGGGCAATGAGGGGCGCAAAGATAGCGCGTAAAATGCATGCAAAATGCAAGTTGTGTGCACAAAACTGCGCAAATAGCGCGATAAAATGCGTGCAAAATGCAAGTAATGTGCAAAACAGTGGCAATGAGTGCGCATGAATAGCGCGATAAAATGGTCAAAAATGCAAGTAATGTGCAGCAAAACAGCCTTAGTTGCGCAAAGATAGCACGATAAAATGCATGCAAAATGCAACTTAGGTGTGCACAAACTGCGCAATGAGGTTGCCAAGATGGGGCGATAAAATGCATGCAAATGAAGTAATGTGCCAAAACGTGCAATGATGGTGCGCAAGAAGCGCGATAAAAATGCATGCAAAATGCAAGTATTGTGCACAAAACTGCGCGATGAATGCGCAAGATTACGCGATTAAAATGCATGCAAAATGCACAAGTGTGCACAAACAGCGCAATGAGGTGCGCAAGATGGCGCGATAAAATGCATGCCAAAATGCAAGTAAGGTTGCACAAAATGCGCAATGGTTGTGCGCAAGATAGCGCGATAAAATGCGTGCAAAATGCAAGTAGTGACAAACTGCGCATGGGGTGCGCAAGATAGGCGATAAAAGCAGCAAAATGCAAGTAGTCTTGCATAAAACTGCGCAATGTAGCGCAAAGATAAAATTGCAAGAACGTGCAAAACCGTGTAATGAGGTGCGCAGTTAGCGCCATAAAATAATGCCAAATGCCAGTAATGTTGCACAAACAGGCGACGCAAGGTGCGCAGAGAATGCGCGATAAAATGCATGCACAAATGCAAGTAAGTGGACGCAGGTAAAAATGCGCTGATGCGCAGAAATAGCGCGATAAAAAGCAGTAGCAAAAGCAAGTAATTGCACAAAACTGTGCGTGACTGCGAAGAGCGCGAAAATGCATGCAAAATGAAGTAATGTGTACAAAACTGGCGTGAGGTGCGCAAGATGCGCGATAAAATGCATGCAAAATGCAAGTGATGGACACAGCGTAAAATTGCGCGATGCATAAGATGGCGCGATAAAATGCATGCAAAATGCAGGTAACGTTGCACAAAGCTGTAGATGAGTGCGCAAGATGCGCGATAAAATGCATGCAACATGCAAGAATGTGCACAAAACAGCGTCGATGAGGTGCGCAAGATAGTGCCGATAAAATGCATTGCAAAATGCAAGTAATTGCCCCAAAACATGCGAATGAGGTGCGCAAGATGAGCGCGATAAAATGCATTGCAAATGCAAGTAATGTGCACAAAACAGGGCAATTGAGGGCGGAGAGAGCGCGATAAAATGCAGCAAAATGCAAGTAGTGTGCACAAAACTGCGCAATGAGGTTGCGGCAAGATGGCGCGATAAAATGCATGCAAAATGCAAGTAGTGTGCAAAAAACTGCGCAATGGTGCGCAAGAAGCTGCGATAAAATGCGGCAAATGCAAGTAATGTGCGTAAAACGTGCATTGAGGTGCGCAAGATAGCGCGATAAAATGCATGAAAATGCCAGTAATGTGCAGAAAACAGCGGATGAGGTGCGCAAGAGTAGCGCGATAAATGCATGCAAAAGGCAAGTAATGTGCACAAAAACGGTGCATTGAGGTGCCAAGATAGCGGCGTGATAAAATGCATGGCAAAATGCAAGTAGTGTGCACAAAAACTGCGCATGAGTGGCGCAAGATAGCGCGGATAAAATGCATGCAAAAAAGCATGTAATGCAGAAAACACGCAATGAGGGCGCAAGATAGCGCGATAAAATGTTTGCAAAATGCAGTAAGGCACAAAAGTGACATGAGGTGCGCAGATAGCGCGATAAAAATGCTGCAAATGCAAGTAAAATGTGCAAAAACAAGCTGCGATGAGGTGCGCAAGATAGCGCGATAAAATGCATGCAAAATGCAAGTATGTGCACCAAACAAATCGCAATGAGGTGCGCAGAGATTGAGCGCGATAAAATGCATGCAAAATGCAAGTAATGTGCCCAAAACAGTGCAATGAGGTGCGCAAGATAGGCGATAAAATGCATGCAAAATGCAAAGTAGTGTGCAAAAACTGCGCGATGAGGTGCGCAAGATAGCCGATAAAATGCATGCAAAATGTCAAGCAAGTGTGCCAGAAACAGCGCAATGAGCAGTGCGCAAGATGCGCGATAAAATGCAATGCAAAATGCAAGTATGTGCACAAAACTGCGCAATGGTGCGCAGATGGCGCGATAAAATGCATGCAAAATGCAAGTAGTGTGCACAAAACTGCGCAATTGGTTGTGCGCAAGAGCGCGATAAAATGCATGCAAAAGCAAGTAGTTGCATAAAACTGCGCAATGAGGTGCGCAATGTAGCGCGACAAAATGCTGGCAAAATCAAGTAATGGTGCACGAAACAGCTGCAATTGAGGTGCGAAGTAGTGCGCGATAAAATGCATGCCAATGCCAGTAATGTGCACAAAAAGTGCGACGAGTGCGCAGGATACGCCGATAAAATGCATGCAAAATGCAAGTATGGACAGCCGTAAATTGTGCGATGCGCAAAATAGCGCGATTAAAAGCATACAAAAGGCAAGTTTGCACAAAACTGTGCGATGAGGCGCCAAGTACGCGATAAAATGCATAGCAAAATGAAGTAACGTGTACAAAACTGGCGATGAGGTGCGCAAGATAGCGCGATAAAATGCATGAAAATGCAAGTGATGGACACGGCAGCGTAAAATTGCGCGATGCATAAGATGGCGCGATGATAAAATGATGCAAAAGTGCAGGTAACGTTGTGCACAAAAAAGCTGTCACGATGTGAC